AGTATCACCAATTGCCAAGTAGAGCACATCTTGTGTCTTTGTAAAAATAAAGGTACTTGATTGAATTTTCTATATAGTATTGTATATATTGAAATATTTGTTGTTTTAATCTACAATTACAATAATTGTAGATTAAAACTAAGAATTTTTTATCATACTTTGATTTCACCTCAATTGAACTGAAGCAGTTGATTATTTTCAAAAATCATATTTAAGGTCACTTCTGAAAACAGGGCAAGACATATATTCATGACCAGAGAAACAAGATTGGTCCTAAAGGTATTTATCAGCTAGGAAAGGCTGAATTAAAATCTGGTACATTTACTCTGGAAAGGTTAGTTCAAGTAATGCATACAGATCATGTAAAATGCCTTACGCCAATAACTCATTGATTGATTCTGGTCACATATCTGATGTTTTGGCATCCGATCCAGATGTTTTGGTAACATATATATGTATATTTTATATATGAATATATTATATATATAATATATATATATATATACGTTTTGTATATATATATATAAATTATGTTATAACAATCTACAAATGAGTGCTCAATGTTCTTAAAGAACAGAGCAATAATAAATTACTACAAACACTTATTTAATTTTTTTCTTCAATAACTTGAGTCACCATTAGTAAGTTAATAAGGAAGGTTCCTGACTAATAATAAAATATATGAAAAAAATTAGATGCGTTTTTACTAATTTATATATATATATATATATATATATATATATATATATATATATATATATATATATATATATATATATATATATATATATATATACACATATACATATATATATCAGGCCTTGCGATAAAGCGTTGGGCGATGTGAATTTTACGTCATCCAAGAGCGATTTTGCATGTAGCTAGGGCTATTTGCGTCGAGCAAAAATTTTTTGTTTGAGTATATTTAAAGATATTTTTGAGCGGAATTTTAATGAAGTAATTTATGATTCTTTTAACATTTAATAAAGTATTTTAAAAACCGCACGCAGTTGATATAAAAGTTTGAATTAAAAAAAATTAAATATGCTCATTATTTACAAGTAGAAAAAATTCAGATTAAAAAAAAAGTTTAAATCTTTTAAGCTAACATTTTAATAAAATTATTCAGCAATAGCAAAGTTGTCGATAAAATTGAACAAAAATACTTTCTTTTAGTTTTAGATTTTAAACTTAAATAATTATTTTACTGTGGTTTGTTAGGTTTTAAAATTATTCCATAGATTTAAAAATATTTATTAACTGTTAGACGTATTTAAAGTATTTAAGAGTAATTTCGAGGAAACATTTTAAAAATTGGTGAGCGCAAATTAAAAAAAATAAAAGGATTAATATAAAAACTTGATTCAATAAAAAAGTACAGTTATTAAAATTTTTGTAAAAAGTAACTCAAAAAAATTTCTTAAAAAATAACGCTTTTATGTTAAAAGTTACCGAAACTCAAGAACAGCTGCTGAAAAATAGAACGTCAATAGTTTTTCGAATAATTTTTAATAATAATTTTTAAAATTTGAAATATTTCTTTTATACCTATAAGATTTTTATTCTAACATTTTATTTTATTTTACTAGAAATAAAATTCCTTGTTAACATTAAAAATCTATTCAAAACGTTCGTTTAAGTTTTTTATTAATACAAGTGATTGTGCTTATCAACCGCCTTATGAAAATAAATAAAAATAAATATTATATAAAATCACTGGTAAAAATATTAGCTATTGCACAGTTTTTAATCGTACAATATTAAAATTTCCAGTTTATTACTCGCTGACTTTTTAAAAAAAAAAAATAATTATTTGAAAAACTTTAAATTACATATTTGAGAAAAAAAAAATCAAATATTAGCATATTTTATAATCTTTTTAAAATTTTAGTTATAATGTTTTTTATTTGTTTAGTATAGACAATACCTGTCAAACGTCGAGAAAATAAGCAAATGTTTTTACATTTTAAAAAACGAAACATTCCAAAACATTTTTAAATAATAACATTTCGACATTAATGATTTAAAGTAGTTTTGCGGTATTAAGTAAATTGGTGCAGTTAATGTCGAAAAATATGAAAAGCAAATAAAAAGAATTTAATGACGTCAAAAATCACGTCGTGCTTATGCGTCGCGCAGTTTTTATTCATCACAAGGCCTGATATATATATCAGAAACAGCACACTTTGTTGGGGCAATGCCAAAACAGCTTTGTTTCAATGATTTCAACGTTTTTTAAATGTTGGCCCTTTAAAGAGTGTGCTGCTTGGTTTTTTTTTCATATTTTAAATATCAAGTATTTTGACAGGTAATGATTCTGAGGAAGAATATAATCCAGTAAAAAGTTCTCAATATAATTTAATGAAACTTGATAGATTTGCAATGGAGGCTGTCGGGTAGATAAAAATTTTATACATATTGAGTTTAGATTATTTTTTATATACACTATATTATATATCACATATAGATAATATACTTTGCTTTTTCAGTTTTGTTTATCTATTCCATAGTTTCTTATTTGTACGTATAATGTCTCATCTCGTGCTGCAACTGCACTAGAAAATGCTCTACTTCTAGGTTATGGAATCATTAAACATGGAGATCTGAATCAAGTTTTAGATCAAAGCAAAATTGAGAGGTAAATACTATTTCATTATATAAGTTAGATATTTAATATTTTATCTCTTTTTATATAAGTACTTGTTTACAAAACATTTAATATAATATTTAGCTAAATATAATACTTTGAGTTGCTTTATAGAGAGAAGAAAATAATGTCAAGATATGGTGATCAACATGATAATAATTTAAGCAGCTTGGTGTGTTTGGGTGTTGAGGGTAAAGATGATAAAAATGTTCTTCGGTTTAAGAAAGTCATTGAAAATGGAGAATCTTGCTTGTTGAGAGTTACTAAAAAAGAACATCATTTAACTTTTACTAATGAAAATAGTTTTGGTTCATATCTCTTTCATAAAAATCTCCCATCAAATGGTACAACTGGTTTGCTTCAAAATGAAATTGTATACAATGTTCTGAAAGAGTATGATAGTTTAAATTCAGTACAAGCCATTCTTCTTGATAATACAAATATCAATACAGGATTCAAAACTAGAATTGTTACATTCTTAGTAAAGATATTAGGAAGAAAAATACACCTTATTGGATGTATTTTGCATCACAATGAACTTCCATTTTGAAAAGTATCCAAAACAGTTTATGGCAGTTCGAAGTGTCAAAATAAATTTTCAGGACCTATTGGAAAGCAATTTTCTATAGATTTCCATCTTAACCCACAAGTGAAGTTTACCAAAATTGATACTCCAGTGGAAATACTAAATATTCTGATTGAAACGATTAATGATTTAAACCATGATCAAAGACTATTATTTGAATATTGTCTTGGAATTTCTAAAGGATTTGTCAGTCCCATATTTTTTAGAAAAAAAATTGGTCCACTAAACAATGCAAGATGGTTGACTTAAGCCATTGGAATCATGGCTTTGTATACTCGTTCTGAAGCAATAAGTCTAGATCATGTAAGGCTTGTGAATTTTATTGTACAAGTGTATGCATACATTTGGTTTCTTATCAAAAGGTCTTCTAAATTTATGGATTCTGCAAGTATATTCTTTAAAATGACAGAACAGATAAGGAAGCAAGATGAGGAAATACAATATATTTGTTTTAAAAATCTAAAAAAAAATTCATTTTGTTTATTGCCTGAGAATTTTTTATATTGTATGCTTAGAGATGAAGATTCTAACATAAGGGAATAGATGTACTAGTTAAAAAACTTAGGACAAGTAAAGATAAAGAATGCCATGTTACAAATATTGCTAATGTTGACATTTTAACTTTTAAGCAACTTTTTGGACAGAATTAATTGACTTTAAGAAAAGCAGTGAACAGGCATAAACAATATGGTTGAAGGATGACAAAATCGACGCACTAATTGCAACTAAAGAAGTTCCCAACTTACCTGAATTTCTTTCTCACAGGTAATAAAAATAGTCATGGATGGTTCATCCATGACTATCTATATTACCCGTTTATTAAGTTGAATCAAACTTAAATACAATTGTTTTATTTAATTATAATCGTTAATGAAATGCTTTTCACTATTTTATTATACTACCACTGTTTTTTGAATAAAAAATTAAGCACTTCAGGGGGTCATAGAAATAATTTTTCTAGGTTTCTCCAAGTTAGTGTAATGGTTCCAGATCTTCAGCCTTATCTAAATTCACAATTGGCTAGATATTTTAAACCAAATGGGTACAGGTTACAATTATGTTTAAAAAATTTAGTCAAAAATAAATTGTGCAACTTATTAATCCTTTATTCATATCTGGTAATTATTAATTACTTACATTTAGGATAGTTTTGAGGTCAAAATTACTCAAGTTGTTTGTAAGCACTTATATAACAAGACTATATAACAATAATTATCTAAATTTTTTAGTATATAATTATATAAAGTCTTCAACTAATTGTACTTAAAAAAACTATGATATATAGTTTAGTTATATAGGTAATTTTAAGTTTGCTTTTTAAAACTTGATTGTATTTTATATTAATAGATATGTTTCAAAATGAGGTATAAAAACTAGCTAAAAATAAATCAAATGTTTAAATGTGTATACTGTTTATATACCATTATATTAAACAAAATTTTTATAATTTATTATCTATTTATTTGAACATTTCATAATGAATAAATTTATTTGAAAAAATAAACTTTTTACTAGTCTGATTTTTTTATTAATTGATTTTGTAAATTGGATAAAAACGTGAAAATTAAGAAAAATCATGATTTTTTTGAATGGTTGGTACATCAAGTAACCATTTTTATTATGCTATCTTGAACTTTACCTTTTTGTTTCTTTCTGCTAACACTAATGCTAATGGATTAGGGTTAGCAAAAAAACTGCTGAACTATTTAAGTCTCTAGTAATTTATAAAAAAAAAAAAAAATGAAAAATGAAAATAATTAATAATACCGTATTTGTAAAGGCATGACCAAGAGTAATTAAAACTTGTGTGAACATTTTCTACATCTGCAATAAATGTTACACTCTCAGAATATGAAACTTTATTTTTTTTTGCTTTTATTTTAATCATTGGGACATTCCCTGACAACACCATGATATTAACGGACGATGTAGATATTAAACCATTTGATGTATATTTGACTTCAATAGTGAATCTAAATAATACTTGATAATAAAATACTTAAAACTATTAAATAATAAGAAAACATTTTATTGGAAATGATAAAACAATTTATGGAAGAAAATTCAAACAAAAAACAATAGTCAAAATACACTAGTGATCAAAAGTTTAGACTCAGAAAAAAAATCTCTTAAGCTTAGCTCTGAAAATGCTAAAAAAAATTTATTAAGATAATGCTTGAAATTTTTTTTTTTAATTCAACTTATTTAGTTTGTTTCTAACATAATTACAAAAAACACACACCTTTTATTTTATATATTGGTCTTTTTTTTTATTTTATAATAATAGCGCTATTTAAAAACAAATAAAATGTGTCTCATAAATTTAGACTCACTTTTTCTATCTTTATTTCCATATAAGTGCTTAACCTTTTTTTTTAAAGATTGTAATTCTAACATGGATCAAAATATATTTTCTAAAATATTATGTTTAAATCCATTTAAAAATTAAATTATTTACTAACTTAGTGCACGCTAATCAAAATATACAATTTTTACTCATTATTTGCATTTAAAATATTTAGAAAATGGGTAAAACATCAGTATCAAAAGAAATCAAAGAAAGAATTATCACCTTGCACCTTGCTGGTAATTCTACAAGAAAAGTTCAGTTGATTCTCAAGAACGTATCACAGTCATGTGTCACTAAAACAATAGCTAAGCGGAAAAAAACAGGTAGCACATTAGATAAAATCAGATCCGGAAGACCCAGAAAAACAACTACCACTGATGATAATAGTATATACAGAATTGCCAGAAAAAATCCTAAGTATAGTGCCAAACAAATTGCTCAAGAAATAAATCTAGCTCTTAAAAATGACATCTCAAGGCAGACAGTAAATAGAAGATTAATTGATCGTAAACTATGCTCGTATACTGCTGCTAGAAAACCAATGCTTAAAAGATCAGATCGACTCAAACGGCTACAATTTTGCAAGAAAATTCTTAAGATGAGTGATAGTGATATAAAAAAAATTGTATTCAGCGACGAATCGAATTATGCAGTCGTTAATCGAAAAAAAAGAGTAACTGTTCGAAGACACCATAATGAGAAGTTTCATAATCGTTTCATTGTACCTCGGTTACAGGGCGGAGGAGGTTCAGTTGGGATCTGGGGTTGTATCACGTATGATGGACCCGGACTATGCTACTTGTACACTGGTAGAATGGATCAATACAGATACATTGAGACGCTTGAAAATAATTTGATTCCAACAAGAGACTTATTTTTTGGAGATGAGCCAGAATGGAAATTTCAGCAAGATAATGCCCCTTGTCACAAAGCAAAAACAGTAACAGCTTGGTTTAAAGAAAATAAAATCAATTTACTCCAGTGGCCAGCTAGATCGCCAGATTTAAATCCAATGGAAAATGTATGGTCTGTGCTTGATCGAAAACTGACCAAAGCTCCTGTAACTTCAGCTGAAGAACTACGAAAAAGTTTAAAAGAGTTGTTTGATGGCTTGTCCTTTGAATATTGTCGAAATCTTTTTGAATCTATTAAAAGAAGATGTAGACTTTGCATAGCTAACAAAGGCGGTCACATACCTTATTAACTTGACTTACAGTTTAAAGTGAAAAGTCCTGAGTCTAAACTTATGAACAAGATTTTTATAGATATCTTTTTACATGATTTTGCTATTTTCAAAATAAAATACTTTAAATTTGTTTTTCTTTTCAAGTCTTTTATATATATTAAAGAGAATTTCATAAATAATAAACTGGATTAAAAATAAAATTAAAAACAAAACAAAAAAGGCATTTTTTTAAATCACAAATCACTAAGAAACTATAAGTTTTATTCTGAGTCTAAACTTTTGATCACTAGTGTATAATTCAAAATTGCTTCTAACAAAAATTGTATGTATGTACGCATATATGTATGTATGTATGTATGTATGTATGTATGTATGTATGTATGTATGTATGTATGTATGTATGTATGTATGTATGTATGTATGTATGTATGTATGTATGCACATATGTATAAATACACTTACACTGAGTGAAGTATTACAAACATATTATAAAAGTAACATTAGTAATTATGGCTTAAACAAAATTATTTTTTTTTTACATTGCTTTTTTTGTTGTTGTTATTGCTATCAATCAGTGCAATCCATTTCTAAGATTTAACCTACCTACCAGAAAAAATAGAACTCAAACCAATCAAATAGTTGGTAACTCTAATTTTTCAAAGATTTTGTTCTGTATTAAAACTTATATAAAAAAACTACAATGTTATTTTTAAAAACTATAGAAGTTATTAAATATAATATTTGAAAAATCTCTACACTCAGTTGTGTGCAAAAAAAAAAAAAAAAATCCAACCAACCATTTCAAAAGATTTTACTCTAGTTTTATGTTTTTAGTTTTAATTTCAACTGAAATCAATTAAAAAAACATACTTTCATTCATTTTGGAATTCATCAAATCCTGAACTTTCAGAAGATAAGCTACTTGTCTCCTATTTTGACATATTGGTGAAAATACAGCTCTTTCAAAGGTAAACATAGAACAGCTTTCAACACATCAGTTGAAATAAGCAACAAATGTTGCTTATGTCGTTTTTGGGATATCTCTATAGTGCCTTTATATTTCTTGTTATATCTTGTTATATCTTTTGTATAACTTTGGTATATGTCTCTATTTTGTTATACATTGATTAAATATCTTTATGTTATTAGTGTCTGAAATAAGCATCAAGCAAAGAAAAAGAAAAGAACCAATTATCTCCAGATGATTGTGTTGATATTATCAAAAGAGTGGCAAATGGCAAGATAAAGGATATTGCTAAAGATTACAATTGCAATAAGGGAGTTGTTAGTCGTATATGTAAGCATTTTCATGAAAATAAAACAGTTCATTGTTTACCTGGTGGTAATATAACCACCAGTTGGTAATATAACTTTTTATAACCAACCTTTACCTGGTAGTAATATAATTTCTTATAACCACCAACAAGTATATTGTCTTTCAGTTCAATCATGAGACATAAATCAACTAGACAAATGTTGCCAATGATTTGAAAGTCTCAGGCACCTTTATCTCTAAATCTACTGTAAGTAGACGCCTCAGGAAAAAGACGGAAGCCTTAAGTGTTAAAAGTCTGTTAAAAAGCTTTATATCCTTAAGCATTACAGATAAAAAAAAGCCTGTTTACACTGGCTTTCAGAGGATTGATCCAAGTATAGAAGTGTGGACCAATCAGTGCCCTGTAAAAGTCTACTAACACGGAAAGGAGACCTATTTATCAACCATACAATGCTCTATATAATAAAGGTTATATTTATGGTAATGTCAAGCATCAAAAAGGAGTTCTAGCATGGAGATGTTTCTCCAGAATTGGCCTATTTTGATTATATTGAATCAAAAATAAAATGACAGGGCTAATATACAAAAAAATTGTACAATTCCAAGTTCTTCCATTGGGTCCTGAAACTACCCCACAAAGAAAGCTGTTGTCAAAAACCCCAAGAAGAAGCTTCCTAGTTAGTGGTGTATTGATTGACTTCCCTAAAGTCGTGACTTGAACCCAAGTGTACATTTATGAGCTTATCTTAAGTGCAAAATGAAGAAACATTAATCAAAAAATAAAAATGAACTTTTTGAGATATTGAAGGCAGAATGGGAAATAATACCTGTTAAGTTCTTACAAAAACTACTTGATGCCATGAATGTTGCTAAAGCAATGCCATGAATGTTGCTAAAGCAATGCCATGAATGTTGCTAAAGCAATGCCATGAATGTTGCTAAAGCAATGCCATGAATGTTGCTAAAGCAATGCCATGAATGTTGCTAAAGCAATGCCATGAATGTTGCTAAAGCAATGCCATGAATGTTGCTAAAGCAAAAGCATAAAGCAAAAGGGTTCCAAACTAAATCTGAGTATTTTTGTTGTTTTGTTCTGTAAAATTCAAACACTTTGCACATTTATCATTTTTTATAATTATTTTGTAGAAGTACTTTTTATGCTGTAGTAACTAATTTTAATATTTAAATACATTATTCTGATACCATAGAATATTTAATTATCATGTTTTGAATTAAAATTAACTATTTATTGCAAATATGTATATTTATATATGTATATATATATGTATGTATATATATATATGATGTATATATGTATATATATATATGTATGTATATATATATATATGATGTATATATGTATGTATATATATATGTATGTATATATATATATATATATATATATATATATATATATATATATATATATATATATATATATATATATATATATATATATATATACATATATATTAAGTGTCATTTCCTATACGAGGTCATTCTTATATGGAATGCGATTGTGACATGGCAAATGTTAATATAAAGGTTAATATTGAAATTTCTGAGGATTGGCACCAAGTTCTTGAGAATTGCAGAAAAAAACCTTCACCTTTTAATGTTGTACATTTTTTTAATGTAAATTTTTTCAGATTTTCTGATTACTTGAAACAATATCATAAGTGCGCATGTCCAATAAAAACTCAACCAGTCAGAGAACTTGTCATTCAAGATATACACCTCACACTGCTTCTCTTTTGTAATAATTAGAATGGCAATATTGAAAAAACTGTTTTGGTAAAACATAGACAAAGTAATCAAAAAGAAACTGCACTCAATCTGTTTAATATGTATTCCTCAGTTCTAATAAGTACTGCTAAGTATAACGACTTACAAGTTCTAAAGCACCTATGTAAACCTGATAATCACAATACTTTTGATAATCTTGTTACATATAATGCAGGAACACAAAATTCGACATCAGAAGATTCAGATACTGATTAGAAAAATATATATTTTAATTATTGTTATGTTTTTCATTAATTACATTTTGTGTTAAAATTTGACTCACTCTACAATAGACGTTAACAAAATGTAATAACTTCCCATAGTGTTTCAGCAGGATAACAAAAAGAAATTTGCTAAAGAATCAATATGATTAACTGTCTTATCATCAGCCATTGAATACCTGTTACTTTATAGCCATCATCAGACATTGAATACCTGTTAATTTTTTTTTTTTATGTTTTATCATTTATAAGTTTTTTTTTTAAAATTAATTCAAAACACTCATGTATATATATGTATTTAAAATAATATATATAACATAAATATAAAATATTTAAATATAATACAAATAATAAACATACTGACAATTAGGATATAATATATATATATATATATATATATATATATATATATATATATATATATATATATATATATATAATAGGATATATATATAAAATAAATATAAAATGTTTATATATAATACAAATAATAAACATATATACTAACAATTAGGATATATATATATATATATATATATATATATATATATATATATATATATATATATATATATATATATATATATGTATATATATATATATATATATATATATATATATATATATATATATATATATATATATATATATATATATATAATAGGATATATATATAAAATATATATAAAATGTTTATATATAATACAAATAATAAACATATATACTAACAATTAGGATATATATATATACATATATATATATATATATATATATATATATATATATATATATATATATATATATATATATATATATAAAATAGGATATATATATGTAAAATAAGTATAAAATATTTACATATAATACAAATAATAAACATACTGAGAATTAGGATATATATATATATAAAATAAATATAAAATAGAATATATATATAAAATAAATATAAAATATTTACATATAATACAAATAATAAACATACTGAGAATTAGGAAATAGATCAGAAGGCTGCAAATTCATCTCCAAGTAATTGTATGTCGGAAAAACCATATTTTTACTTTTTTGAATACATGGTTTGTTTTCAAATAAACAACGCCAAGAATATGAGCCAGAACTTGTTAAATGTAAAGGCTCAGTGCTTAATTTAAGGACATTAAATTTACCAACTGTTCTATCGCCACCAACAATTCTTACTCCAGAGCTTATTGATTCTATATTCAAACCTAAATTGATGGAGTCCCTACGCTCCGTATTGTTATTATCATGAACAATAAATCGAAAAAAAACTTCATAAATACCAGTTGAAAGAACTGTATGCGGAATGTAAAGCAAATCTGAAAAAATATCAATAACTGGAGGAAGATCTATATCAATTAGAAACCAATCAGGATAAAAAATTTGAGTTTGGTTCGAGCACAACGGATAAGTAACTGTAGCTTTTAATGCTATAGAATCATCATCTGAATACATTGAGTTTAAATGTATCTCAACATATGGTAAACAATCTTTAGAAAACTTAACTCTTTTCAATGCACTACCATTATTTCCAAACACATTTTCCCCATACACAAAAATGTAATAGTCCTGAGAAGCTGTAAACCAATTAGATTGAATAGTAATTTCACTCAAACCCTGAAAAACTTCAAGCTCCACAGCAAACAAATCTAAACAATAGAATTTTAGCACTAAGAACTTTTAAAATTTACAATTATTATTTAACTTAAACTGTATATATATATATATATATATATATATATATATATATATATATATATATATATATATACAGTTGCGAAAAATAAAATAGCACCACTAAGGGTAAGGGTAAAAAAATGCTTGGTGTTGCTCGATTTTAATCAAAAATGCCAATTCTGACCGAAAAATAAAATAGCACCACATACTCTTTTGTTGTAAAATACTCTGATAACGGTAAAAATAATTGTGAAAATAGCAAGCGTTGGGTTTTTTTTGCTGTTTTATTCGTTTTATATTAGTAAGTATTAGTAGGAGACATTTACATATAAAAATGGAAAAGCAGAAAGCATTGTAGTGCACAAAAAAGAGAACTGGTCCAAAAGTTGATATCAGCAGGAAAATCTTATTGAGAAGTTGGTCATTTAGTTAAGTGTTCCAATAAAATGATAAGAAAAGCTATAAAATTTCAAGAAAAGCCTGAAATATGTGGTCAAAAACGTTCTATTTCAACATTGCTGGCCAATCACTTTGTCCGACAGGCTAAAAAGGAACCTTTTAAAACAGCTACCGAGCTGAAAAAGGACTTTAACATCAATGCAACAGTACAAGCAGTTCGGAGTTGTCTGCAAGTTAATCGATTAAAATCCTGTAGCTCCAGAAAAGTTCCACTTCTACGTGCCAGACATGTTGTAAAGCATATTGCGTTTGCTAAAAAACACTCAAATTGGCCACTCGAAAAATGGAATATTTTATGCACAGACGAAAGTAAGATTGTGCTTTATGGTGGAAAAGGCTCTCGGGCGTATGTCAGAAGACCACCGAATGCAGAATACAATCCAAAATATACCATCAAAACTACTAAACATGGAGGTTTTAGTATAATGATATGGGCATGCTTTTCTTATTATGGAGTAAGGCCCATTCATCACAATACTACTATTATGGACCAACACATTTATGTTAATATATTGGATAAATTGATGTTGCCGTATGCAGACTATGAAATACCGTTGTCCTGGGTGTTCCAACAGGACAATGAACCAAAGCACACTAGCAAGAAGGCAAAGAATTGGTTTGAGGAGCATAAAGTGAACATTACGGAGTGGCCAGCACAGTCGCCAGATCTTAAACCAACCGAGAATTTGAGGACGTAAAGGAGGTGGTTGTTACTGCCAAACCCACCACAAAGGAGTCACTTTGGAATGTAGTTAAGGAGACATGGAGCCAAATTCCGCTAAAGCCATGTCAGGACTTGGTTAACTCGATGCCAAGACTTTGTGTAGCCGTTATTGCCAATAAAGGTCACGCTACAAAATACTAATATGTTAAGAAATAACTAATATTTATTGTAAAATGTTTAAAATAATTGATCTCATAATATTTCCTTATTTTAAAACACACATTAAAGCTGTGGTGCCATTATTTTTTTCGCGTTTTATTTGATTTTTCTGAATTTTTGTTTAATAAATGAATACCATATATTAAAACTCGTATATTTTGTTTTTTTATAAAAATTATAAGCCATTTTACTTTTAAATATGTATTTAAAAGATTTTAAAACCATCAAAAATAGTTAAAATTTCTAATTTTAACCAATTTTTGGTGGTGGTGCTATTTTATTTTTCGCAGCTATATATATATATATATATATATATATATATATATATATATATATATATATATATATATATATATATATATATATATATATATATATATATATATACACATATATATACAAACATATTTATGTGTGTGTGTGTGTGTGTGTGTGTGTGTGCATATATTAGTAAAATTAAACCTCCATTATACATTTAATAATATAATAAATGAAAATATATCAAAAAGTTGTGTTAATTTTTAATAGTTTTTTTAAATTACCTTTTCAAATAGTTTTTACAGTTATAACAAACTCCTTAAAAGCAACAAAAAAATAAAAGTTTATGATACTAACCTTCTCCATCAGCAAATTCATTATCATATATATGCCATTTGATATTTTTTAATGGTGCATACCCAGTTAAATTTGAAAAATCAACATTAACTTTTAGGTTATCGTTAATTGAAGTTGAACACCTGCAATAACTGTTTGGACCATTAATTTTAATAAATGGTTTTTGATAAGCATCTGTAAAATTCTCAATTAAAAATGGTATATCTGAAGATATACTTATATTGTCAAAGTCAAGACTGTCACCAAAAGCCAATACAGCATCTTGAGATGGAATCAATTTAATACTGTTTTTTGAAAACACCCTACATATTGGTTGAGACCCCAACTTAGCAATTGTGTTTGTATCAAATATATTAGAGCAATTGTTATAATTTATTGACAGATCCAACTTATTATCAAAATAAAGTATAAATAATTCCCCAGCATTTAGTATTTTAGATTTAAAACTATCTAAAATAGGTAAGCAATTGACCTGTAAATTAAAATAAAGTTACTTGTAAAAAATTATATATATATAAATTATTATTATAAATATAAATTTAAAATAAAATATACATATTATTATTTTATTTACTACTTCCCATTTATGTGTAAGAGTAGTAAAATTGCCAATTATCTTGATGTAACATTGAACCTGACTGACAGTTCTTATCAAACATATGTTTATGAACATATGTAACCAACTTATGTATGTTTGTTCTGATTCAAACTATCCACCTAATATAATAAAAGAAACCCCTCGCACTATTGAGTTAAGATTATCGACTATCACAGTAAATGAAACTGTGTTCAATTATTTCATTCTTCCGTATAAAGAGGCTTTACGAAAATCAGAATACAATTCAAAACTCACCTACCAACCGCAAATAAACAAAAATCAAAAAAGACATCGCAAATGTAAAATTATATGGTACAACCCCTCATTTAGCAAAAATGTTGAAACTAAAATTGAAAATAAAATTGGAAATCTTAGCTTTAATTGACCAACACTTTCCAGTAGGACACATACTATAGGACACAACTATATTAAAGTTAGCTATAGTTGCATGCCTTATGTCAAGTTTTTAACAAATGCACATAACAACAAAATTTTACAAAGCGATAAAAATGAAACGTCAAAAAAAATGCATTTGCATAGACAAAAAAATTTGTCTGTTAAATAACCAATGCCTTTCTAGCAATGTCATATACCATGCCACTTTAAAATACAATTAAAAAAATTTTTAAATTGTATTTTAACTTAAAATACAATTAAAATTTTTTTCTTTTAATCAAAAATATATTATTATGAAATATTTTTTGAACTATTTTCTTAAACTTACATTCCTCGATAAATTTTTAAATTTCATTGTAAAATATTTTAGCGTTCAAAAAATATGAAATTATACTATGAAACTTAAAATTTTTAGGCTTAAATTATAGGTTTTTTTTATTCCCAGGCTCCAATCATCGCAATTTTTTGCATAGCATCTTTATTTGACGTAAGCATAAACATATAAAGGTTTGGAGTTTGCTCCATGGAAGTTAGATATCTCGAAGACCAAAAAATGCTGGCACTACCCCTGCTGTTATTTAAAAGTTATTTTTTAGACAAGGTGGTACTTTGTTGAGGCTCAAACCAATTTTAAAATATCATATATATACTTAATAAAGATTTTAAAGTATTTTCAGACTGGAGGATTTTGGAGGTTTTTTTAATTAACTAAAGAAAGTAAAAATTTGCACTCAAAAAATATACAAAAATACATCAACTTCAAAGTTAAATAAAATTTCTTACTTATAAGCAAAAAACTTGCAGTGAAGTTCAGTGGTTTAAAAAAAGATAAATCTATCAATATTTATAAAAAAAAATAAAAAATAGAGCATATATTTTAATTCATAAAACAATTTACAATTTATGTATAGCAACTTATATTAGAAAAAAAATTTCATCTTTAACAGGTTGTATAAACTTTAATTTAAAAGCTAATGACTAACAAATATCATTTTATTAAAGCTTTATATGTATGGAAAACGACCATTACCATTAAACCTACATTAAACAATTTTTTTTGACCCACTGTGCACTATAAGTTCTGGAGATCCTCAATTCAAAGATAAAGTTTATTTCAGTATAAGTCAAACCACATTTAAATCAAGATATGCCAACCATCTTACACCTTTCAATGTACCCAAATACAAAAGTGACACTCAACTTTACAAAGAAATATGGAAGCTAAAATCGAAACATAAATCATATAATCAAATTATCAAACCATAAAAACATGTGATTACATGGAAGATAATAGCACGATGTAAGCCCTTCAATCAAGCATCAAAAGTTTGTAATCTTTTTCTCCGCAAATTTCATATATTATCATATAAAGGAAAAAATTTACTTAATAAAAGATATGAAATAATATCATATATCATAATATAAGTGCCAGCATTCAAAGAAATTTTTACTATACTTGTTCAACACCGGGGACATTCAAACCTTTGACATCTTTTTGTTTTGTTTTGTTTTTGTAATATCAGAACTCTTTCCACCGTATTTTAATTTGTAATTTTTAATTGGTTTTTAAGTAATAAAATACACAATGGCTGATGATTGCCGAAAGGCATGAAACTCAGAGTTACATCAAAAGTTGTTTTTATTCATTTTATATAAACAAATAAATTTGCTCTATTATTTAATAGTATTGAGCACTCTTAAACACACAAGGGTATTTTTTATTATTATAATTATTATACCATAATAATACATTATCTATTTTGTATATATATATTATTATATATATTTGTAAAATTAAAGTAAAAAGTTACTTAAAAATATACTTAAAAAAAATATACTTCCACACTTGTGTGGATAAATTTCCATCATTTTCTATATTAAATGAAGTAAAAACAGGATGTTTTTTCATAACCTGTTTTGCAAACCTGAAAATTTTTTATTTTAATACTAACCATTAGGAAGATTCCCAAAGTTCACTAGCTCCTCCTACTCTTACACATAATTGGGAAGTTTTCCTTCTCTTAGGTAAGTTGACTTTGCCACAGCTTTGCCAAGACCCTTACCTGCCACATATAAAGCAGTTTGTACTGAATTACATATTACCAGTGGGCCTGGAGATGGACGAAAGTATAAAATAATATACATAAAAATGCTACATTACTATATACTGTTTTGTAGCATCATCTTTTATAAAAAATATAAATTTTGGTATGGGTGTCCATTCCCATTTCAATCTGTTGATAAAAGAGTATTTTTTAAATAGTAATACTTTTATTCAAAATTCATTATTTTTGAATGAATTCAATTGAACATGAATTTAATTTTTAATATCAAACTCTCTTTTTACAAAGCATCTTCTACTAAAGTAGCGTATATGTAGAAGCTAAGAAGTTAATTATAAAAAAAAAATCAAGGAATATTTGAACTGACTCAACTAATCTTAGAATTGGGGTTACTTACATTTTAACTTGGGGTCTTGTAGATAATGTGGTATTTGACAGACAACCTGCATGGACTTGGATGACTCAACTAGTAAAACAAAGAAAAAAATACTATCATTGAAAGCATTTTTTAATCACCAGAACGACTGTTTACATCAGGTTGAAGTTTAGCAGAGAAAAAATAAGTTAAAACTGTATTATAGTTATCAGAATGTATAGCTAAATGCTTCTTGTACCATTTACACCAGAAAAAGCTCTAGCTTTGATTCTTAATTGTGGACTGTCTAAGCTGAATCAAAAACTTTTGAATGATCAAAAACAAAAACCATAATAACATAATAAATATAAAAACCATAATAACAATCAAATAAATAACAACTAAGTAATAGTCTAATAATAAGATTAAATTTATGATAAAGATGTTTCATTTTGCATTATAAACATTTTCATGATTGCAATTACTGAGAGTTTGTAACAAACATGTAACAAACTAGTGGTGTATTTTATTTCATGGATATGAAGTTGTACAACAGTTTTCATAACATATTGAAACCTCTTCTAAATACTGAAACTTTCTGAATAGATTTCTAAAGGGGCTCAAGATTAATGTAACAGGAGGTTTTGATAAATAGAGATTTTGATGGTTTATTTTACTAAAATGTTCTGCAACAAAGTATAACATGTATGAGGGAGTAGTTAAGAAGTTAAACCAAAAGTGATACAGCTTTTAAAATCACATCTCTTGCTTAATTAATACAATAACCAATACCCTCATGTATGTTATATCATTAATGTATCATTTAAGCAAAGTTAGTTTTTGTAAAACATGCAAAATTATCAAATTTTGCAAGTAATACAAAAATTTATTTGTTATACAAAAAGGTATAAATATCACATAGACCAAAAAAATATTACTACTTGAATCACAAAACCTAAATTATTAAATGCAAAAAATTTGTTTGAAAATTGATTTTTAAAGATTAGAGTTTTCATTTATTTTTAAAAAAATGGATTGCCTAATAGTTTTAGGAAATATTAAAGAAACCTTGAAAATATATAGCAACAGCCAAAATTAGTAATTGGAAATGTGTGCCCAGGAAAAAAAGTTCTATAGAATTTCTTTAAATTTTGAAACATATGGCCTATAAGAATTCTATAGAATTTCTATAAAATCTCTGTTCATTTCCATAGAAAATTCTATAGAACTTTTTTTTCTACTTTGTTTTCTATAGAAAAAAAAGTTTTATAGCAATTTCTATAGAAATTAATAGAAATTCTATAGAAATTCTATATATAAGAGGCCATATGTTTCAAAAGTTTATAGAAATTCTATAGAACTTTTTTTCTTGGGTGGTATCATTAAAATGTTTAAAATAATTTCTAATCTGCCTGTAGCATTAATATCATTCTATTTTTTAATTTTAGTATTTTAAGAAAATCAGCAAAGCTTGGTAACTATGCAAAACAAATTGTTGTCATGAATTTCAGGTGTCCTAGCAACTAAATAAAAAATTTATAAGTGTTACTAGATTCCTAGTATAAAAATGATAAATATTTTGAGGAGAACCTAATAAACATTTTACTACTTAGTTATTACTTTTGTCTATCTAATAATGATTTTGGCCCACTGTGCAGTAGCAGGGTGACCTGTCCTTAGGAAATATATGTCTATTACAATAATTTGCAATAGTAAATTTGTGAACAACATTTAGTTTTTTTTCTTTAATAAACTCTTTTAATGAAGAAAATGTTTTAGATCTATATGGAAAAAATTAATTTTTTCCAAATAGCTCTATAAATACCAAAATTTTATTTTTGATGTCTATAGAACTATATGATATGATATGACATGATATATATATATATATATATATATATATATATATATATATATATATATATATATATATATATATATATATATATATATATATATATATATTGTACTTTTCTATCTAAAAATATTTTAACAATTAGATAAATATAAAACTATATATAGTCATACCTGGTTTAAAAAAAGTGCTCCAAAAAAGTAACGCAACATGGATAAGTCATTTGCATTCAAAAATAAACAGTTCTAGTAAATGCAAAATGTAGAACAAAAATGATTGTTAATGTACATACAAACAAACTTATTATAAAATCAAACAAAAAATTTTAACAAACTTTAATGTTTAAAAAAAAAAATGTTGTTTAAATATTCAATGTTTAAAAAATTATTCCCTTGTTTTTTTCAATTAATTACTAATTAGATTAAGATAAATTTAAAAAGTAAATAAAGAATAAAAAGTTTAATAAAAATTATAGTCAAAAAACAACAATAAAAATAATAAACAATAAAATTATGGCTAAAATTTATCATTGAAAAAATATATATAAGATATGAAAAATTTTAAAAGAAGATACTGTTAATATATATTACCAGGAAGCATCATCTCTTTCAGTTAAATAATTAAATAGATAAACCTTAACTTGAATAGTGCCACCAAGTATAAAAAATTAATAAGCTCATCCATTTTTTAAGAAGTTCTTCAACAATCAATACATCAAGTTTAAAAGTATTAAAAGTGCTTACATATTTAATTTACAATGAAAATGAATAAAAAAAAAGCTTTGGAATAAGTTAATATTTTAGACATTTGTACAGCTATGAAGTCAATTGACATCATGATTAAAAAACCAAAACATTCAAACAGACTTTATTTATTAATGTTATTGTTTAAATACAGACAATTAAAAATGTCTACATATCTAAATTACATTTAAAGTAAATTGAAAAATGTTCTCCAATAAATATATAATTTAAACAAGCAGCACTAATTAAGTAATAATTTTCAAATAAATTTAAAAAGCTTTTAAAAAGCATGCTTCATCAATGCCTATTGACATAATCAGATATAAAACATCATTTTTATACCTGATAATTCAAACTGATAAATCACCAAGTTTAAAAGTATTATAACAATTATCACATATTTGAAAATTATATATACATACAAACATATATATATATATATATATATATATATATATATATATATATATATATATATATATATATATATATATATATATATATATATATATATACATATACATATACATATACATACATGCAAGTGATATATAAATTTGTGTGTCTATTAAAAGCAACAGTTTAAAAAAATACTTTATCTGACCACCTAAATGTACTCAATATAAAACTGGATTTAATAAATTAAAAAATATATATCCTTGTAATAAATTAAAATTATATTAAAATAAATATAATTTAATGTCTCTAATATTATTATTAAAAATAAAAACTTATTGAAAAAGAGGTCAACCTGGTTAATAAAAAAAAGCAAAATTATATTTAAATTTTAAAACAAATAACTATTTTATAAAAAAGATGCATAGAAAGGTTTAATGAATGGAACCAGGAGCAAAAAAATAGCACGATAAAGAACAGCAATCTTCACAGTTGCATGAAATAACAAGCACGATAAAGAACAGCAATCTTCACAGTTTCTAAATTTACAGTGAATTAGATTTAATAGCTTTCATGAAAGATAATCTAAAAAAGTGCAAAGTAGAAGACTCAGTAAGGTTACCATTTATCAATATAAGAATATTAACAATATTAAAATAGTCGTTAGCAAAAAATAACTGAGTTCTGTTTTGGTTAAAATTCACTAGCCACTGAAGCCTAAAGCTGTTACAGACAAGCAATAACATTCAAGATAGAATTCCTAAACAATCAATAAATTATTACATTTTTGTAATGGCTGAAATCGCATAAATAAACTTGCGTAATAAATAATAAAATTAATAAAATCGCATAGGTAAACTCGCGTAAGCTGCAACTTAACTGCACCCAAAATCATCTCGATTAATAAAACCTTTTGCGGGTTTTTGTAAATTCTCATAAATACCTAGATATTGTATTTATTTATAGAGGAAATAATAATAATAATAATAACACGTATAGAAACTAGTTTTTAATAAGAAATGCGAGCTGTTTTGTTATTTTTTTGTTATCTAATAAACTTCACATACATTTAAAAAAAAAATTACGCAGTTATTTTTTTATCTTGCAAAAACAATATATATATATATATATATATATATATATATATATATATATATATATATATATATATATATATATATATATATATTATATCTTCAAATATAAAATAGTTTCAAAGTCTCAAAGAAACCAGTTAATCAAAAATAAAAGATTTAATAACGCTGAATAATATAATTTTATTCACAGACAAATTTATTTTTATTATTTTTACAAATTTACATTTTATTTAAAAATTATAAAAATTTCAGTTTCTGTAACACTGATAAAATTTAGTTCAAATGTACTTGATGCAGTTGTAAAAAAATCATGTTTCTATGAACTTTTATATTTAAAAATTATTCTCTAAAAGTAGATTTAGTCAAAAAACAAAACAATTACATTGAAAAAAATTAATTAAATAAAAATATTTAGGCAATTCTATAAAACCCAAGAAAAATTATGGACTTAAAACTATGATTTGCATAAGATAAAAATGTTATAATAAATTAATCAGTTTTACAATGTCATTAGAATTATACTACAAATATGTTAACAAACATCCTAAATTTATTATTTTAATTACAATTATAAAAGCATTACCACTAAATTTAAACATTTAAACATTCAAACTATTACAACATGTAAAATGTTAAATATATATAACTTAACGAAACTTTATTTAAATACAGAGTCAAATAAATATAATTGATAATCACTTTTTAACTATTAAAATATAACAATCCATTTTTAATATAACTAAATTTTAAATTTATATAAAATAATATTATATAAAATAATAATTAGATTAAAATACTATTGTTTAAATGTCTGTAAAACATCTCCATAAGATCTATAAAATATAAACCAAAACATCTCCATAAGACCTATGAAACACAACCAAAACATCTCCATAAAATCTTTAATATAACACCAAGGATTCAAACGTTTTTTTCAGCTAGAGCTTTTTCAAGTTTTTGACTTCGTTTTTTGTCAATTAATTCTAATTCACGTATTTTCTAAAACATATATATATATATATACCTGTAGTAAAGGGCTTATATATACAATTTGTGGTAAAAAACAGCTCTTAGCTTGTTTGCAGTATTAAAGCTGACAAATTCTTTCAGTATTAATTTAATTTCAGGAAGTAATTAAACCACAAAATCACAAATTAAAAGACTAGAATGTTTTTAAAAACATTCTAAATGTTTTTAAAAACATTCTAAAGGTTTTTAAAAACATTCTGAATGTTTTTATTTTATTTTTTGAAAATAAAAACATTCTAAATGTTTTTATTTTATTTTTTAACTGTAAAACATGTGCGGAGATATATATATATATATATATATATATATATATATATATATATATATATATATTTATATATATATATATATATATATATATATATATATATATATATAGATATATATATATATATATATATATATATATATATATATATAGATATATATATATATATATATATATATATATATATATATATATATATATATATATATATATATATATATATATATAGGTATAACAGCGTATATATATATATATATATATATATATATATATATATATATATATATATATATATATATATATATACATATATATATATATATATATATATATATATATATATATATATATATATATACATATATATATATATATATATATATATATATATATATATATATATATATATATATATATATATATATATATATATATATATTTAATTAATTTTAAAATATATTCTACAAAATGAGTGCTTAATGTTCTTAAAAGAACAGATATATATTATATATATGCACATATATTAAAATTGAACAGTTACGAATTATTAACAATATTTTAATAATAATTTAACAGTAACTGTTAAAAGTGTTAAAAATATTGTTAATAATTCGCAACTGGACTCGAAAACCAGTTACTTTGTGGAACACACCCGGCCATAGGAGCCTCAGGGAAGAAAGAGAAAAGATTATATTAGAGTCAGCATTTTTTAAAAAAAATCAAATTAAAAGATGTTGGACAGATGTCCAGTCAAAAAAAGCACAAACTTCAAGCAAAATAATTTATATTTATATATAATTTAAAAATTGTTTATGTGTATTTCACTGATAAATTAGTAAAAATCGGAAGGTAAAGGAGCTGGTCTAAATAAGCATAATAGGCTAAAGTGTTAAAAAAAAATATAAGAAGAAAGGTTGTAACTATCGAGTGAGTGACGTAGTATAATAAAGCATAAGATGAACAAGCGTGTGTGTATGTCTTGCCTTTTTTAGAATGTATAAGGAGGATGTGTGTTAGCTGATTATATACATTTTCTTAAAACAAGTGAGAGATCTGTATTAAAAAAATAAATAAGGTGAGGAAAGTAAGAAAAGAAAAACATGCGGTTATCTATGGACTGACTTAAATAGGGATTGGCGCAGCTGAGGGTGCATACATCGACTGACTTAAATAGGAATTAGTGTAACGGAGTATGCAAAGGGTTAGGATTAGGGTTGCACACAACAAGATAAAAAGTGTTATAATATATATATATATATATATATATATATATATATATATATATATATATATATATATATATATATATATATTATAACACTTTTTATCTTGTTTCTGCCATTGGAACCAACAGTTACAAATGTAAGTAGTCAACAGTGGTAAAGAAGTGCCGGAAAAACTTCATATCTTTGCTTTTGTCACATTTGTTGTAGAAACAAGTATTTAAAAATTTACCATGAGACAATCGATTTCAATAAATTAAGCTGCAAAAAAAAAATAGTAGTAGACATAAAGATATATTAATTGTAGAAATGTCTAGAAATGTTTGGAAAATTAACGCATAGCACAATCTCTGTAATACAGTTTTTTTAATAAGCAATTGTGGTATGGGTACCATAAATGTAAAAACTTTGTGTATTTTTAGACTGCTGGGACAAACTTTCATCTGCCACTGATGGGGTTTTTTTTTTTTGATATGGAAAAAAGTATTAATATTTTATGTTAATACAAGCAAAAGTTCATCTTTTGCCACTATGCCATTTCCAAAAAAATTAAATGTGCTTTTTAGTCATACCCCTAATACACATATGTGAGAGTCGTATTATAACGTATATATACTGTATACAAACATATTTTATATATTATTAAAATATATAAAAAATGTATGTATACAGTATATATAAAAGTATATTATATATATTATACATAATATACAATTTGTATAAGATATATTTTATTCAAATTGTATATTATACATTACCTTCTGTCAAACAAAAACTTACTTGTGAAATTTCAGTTTCAATAATCAAAAGGTAATTTTTTTCTTTACCAAGTTTCTCCATCTCCTTTAAAAAATTTTTTCGTTCCTCAATTTCTTGGAGAACTAAAATTGATTTGAAAAGATTTCATAAAGTATTTTTAATATGGTAATTTTCATGAATGCCATTGTAACAATAATTCAGAAATTTTTTTTTTTTCATATACATATTTTCTTATTTAAGTTTTACACAATAGAATAAGCAAAAAAACAAAATTTTAATCTTTGTAAAACTAAAAAAATTTCAATGTTGTTCTATATTTAAAAACAAAAGTACTAAAAAAATGAACAAACAAACAAACAAAAATAATAATACCAATGTTAAACTCATCAACATTTTCAGATGGTTCAATGGCAACAGTTTTTTTTGCTGTTTTTTTAAATTGTTTAAAATCCTTTCCATAAGCCATTTTATTCTGCAATAGCTCTTTGTCCTCTTCCGTTATTACCTCTAATTAAAAGATACACATGTGAAGAACTACTACCTCTAATTAAAAGATATACATGTTAAGAGCTATTACTAATAAGAAAAATAAAACTCTTTCATTATTACTACAAAGAAATATATTTATAATGGTTTTGGAGATGTGTAATAATTAATGCATTAATTATAAATAAAGTCTATTGAGTTTTGGTATTTTTAAATACAAAAATTAAAATAAAAAGTTAACAACCAATTTTTAAAGAAGAACTAAATTGATTAAACTTGACCTAAAAAGAAAATTTGCATTAACTTACCTACCAATTATAAGCATATAAACTATAATTAATATCCATATCCATAATATCCATAAAATAAATAATCAAGATCCATAAAATAAGTAACTCATATTCAATGCTTACTATTTTATGTGTGTTACACATTAGACAATTGTTGATCAAATATGATTAACAAAGTAATATAAACAACAAATAAAATTATTAAAAATAAAAAAATGAATAAAATAATTTTTATTTACTTATATTATTATATAAAATAAGACTTTATTTTTTCTCCATCTGGCACTAATAGAGCTCTTGAGTATTGTTATGCTCTTTTTATTACTACAAGGATAAAAGCCAAAACTTCTCTGTGGTTAAAGCCAACATTAAATCCAACATTAAAGATGGCTGAATAAAGCATTGAACAAATAAAAATTTTAAAGATCTTAAAATGACTTTTTAAACTATAAACTTTTTTGTTTATAAACTTAGTAAAAATTTTTTTAAAAAGGGGAATAGGAACATCATTCTACTAGCTTATGTTACGTTCTTATTACCTTGAAACAAGACAATTACATTTTTTTTTTATTTTTACACAAAATTTTTAACAATTATAGGACAAAGGATAATAGCAATTTTTTATATAAAGTTGAATTGGATTTCCTCCAGCACCATAAAATGGGGTGAATTTACTCTAAACTTGTGAGTAATCTCAATTATTTTATACACCCCATATCTTTATGAGAACAATATTAAATATGGAGCTACAACTTGTATGTTTATATTAAAAAAACTATACAAAATTAACTATCATTAATAAATTTGAAAATATATCAAAATCTTATAAGTGTAAAAATGAGTTAGTCTTTTTGTTGTAAGTAACTAATTTATAGAATAAAAATTTATATAAGTTATATAAATAAAAATTTTAATTTATATTATGACTAATTTATTTAAAGCATAAAATAAATTGGAAGGAAGCACAGACATCAAATGAAACTATAAATATTGGTGAAATACAGGAAAAAAATAATCAATAATCAGTAGATAAGAAACAAACTAAACAAACAAAAAAATTCTAGTAAAGTTTATTTGTAAAAGTAAAAAAAGATTATCATTAGAACTTGTGATTGTGGTACAAGTAATAGGGTTATCATGTTGTTAGTGAGAAAATGATTTTGTATCAATATCACCAGTTGCTGTTAATGCCAAATATGTTCTTCGACTTTTTTTTTGGCACAACCACTCTAGAGTCAGATCCAGTCTCATCACTACCAGAGTCAAATGCAGTCTCATCACTACCAGAGTCAGATGCTGTCTCATCGTTACCAGTACTAATGCCAGCTATCTTTTGGTGCTAACCTATTTTTATCATTTAATTTATTTTTATCTATTTTATCATTTTTATATTTTTCTTGTTTTTTTGACTAGAATCATGACTATACCACTAAGCAAAAGCCATAAGTCATTGTATATACACTTAATTTTATCTATTCCTATCATCAGTATTTACGCTTAACATACAATAAAATATATATAAAATGATTTATATTTAAATTAACTTAGTATTTTGCCTTTAAAATACCTTTATCTTGCAAAAAAGTTCTTATTTTACTAGTATTCAGTTTACCTATAACCAATAATATCCGTAAGAAATATCCGTGTATAGAGTTCACCTTAACAAAACATATTCATTGCAACAAAACCCCAAAACACCAGAACCTGTTATCATTACAAAAAGTAATATATAAACATTTTGTTTTAAACAGAGGGACACACGAATCATGCTAGATTCTATTTATAAGTCATTTGTATGGCAGAACCAATTAATAAATTTTTATATTATTGATTTTTATATACTCATATTTGCTTCCAGCAAAAATGAGTATATAAAAATCCATTTCACACAATGCATTATACAACACACTGGCTCAACACAAAAAAGATTAATTTGCTGCTTTGGTGTCCTAGATTATCAGATATTAAGCTAGTATTTGGTCCTGGGTTAATGCTTAATTGTAAACCATTGAATTCAATAAAGTAAGCACTTAAAGTAACTTTTGTTAATAGTAAGAGAATTGAAGGTGTCACTTTAATGCGGAGACCCTTTGTGCTACTTAGTAAAAGAAGTTCTTTAAACCTATCATTCAGTAATATTTGTGGTTTTAGAAGTAACTTTTCTTCTGTTGAGTATTATCTCTTGCAAAGTTCACCAGACCTAATTGCTCTTTGGGAGACAAATTTGAGTTCAGCTGTCTCATCTTGTATTGATGATTATTTTCTTTTAATTCACTAAGACTCCAATAGTCACATGCTTGGCCAGGGCATTTACATTCAAAAGAATTCATTCATTTATTGGGAAACTAGGTTTAAATCCACAGAATATTCTTTTAAGTGCTTTCACTTAGCACCACTTCACTCGATTGTTTTTCTCTTTGTTCTATATTGTTCTCCTTTATTTCTGATCAAATTGACCAAGCTCTCTCTCTTTATCCATCAGTCAATATTGCTGTTGTTGGTGACTTTAATGCTCATCATACTAAATGTCTTGGCTCTTGTGACTCTACAGGCCTTAAACCCCTCAACTTTGGCCTTTCTCAATCCCTAACTTAAATAGTCAACTTTCCAACTTACTTTCCAGACAATCGGAATCATTTAATTTCTCTACTCATCTTATGTCTTGTTTCTGATCCTAGTCAGTGCTCCGTTTCTCCACATTAACCCTTACACTTGGGACACTTTGCGTGATTTTCTTCATGATAGCCCCCTTGGGTAGAAATCTTCTCTTCTTCCTGCTGACAAATGTGCTTCTTATATAACTTCATGGATTCAGGCTGGCATGGAATTTTTTATTTCTTCTCGCCGATTCCAGGTCAAGCCTTACTCTTCTCTATGGTTTTCCTCGCTGCAATTTCCAATCAAAACCATTACTTCCACATCTATCAGCAAAACAATTCTCCAGAAAACAGGCGTCTGTTTATTACTGCTAGGAACCATTGTAAAAAGGTTTTGTCTAATACCAAAGCCCGTTATTCTCAGGTCATGAAATCTTTTATTTGATCACAAAAATTAGGCTCGTGACTTCTGGAGAATCTTTAACAGTATCGAAGGTAATAGTAAAAAATAGGGAGCTGTTGTCTATACTTTCATAACTATTTAACAAGTGCTTGTCAGAGTCTTGTTTTCCAGCCTGCTGGAAAGTGGAATCTGTTATCCCTGTTTTCAAAAATTCTGGAGAGCAATTTGATTCCTCTAACTACTGTCCCGTTAGTCTTCTTCTTATCATAAGCAAGATTTTTTAATATTTAATTAAATAACACTTAATCTCTCTTCTTATCATAAGCAAGATTTTTTAATATTTAATTAAATAACACTTAATCTAATAACTTACTTTCTGATCATCAATATATGTATATATGAAATATATAGATTTCAATCTTCTTGTTCTACAGCTAGTTTGCTAACAGTAATAACCAATAGGTTTTATTGTGCATTAGATAAAGGTGGAGAGGTTAAGGCCAACGCTCTTGACATTTCTAAAGCTTTTGATAAAGTTTGGCATGATGGTCTTCTCCATAAGCTTTCTTCTTACAGTGCATCTGGCAACATCTTTAAGATTATTGAACTCTTCCTTTCCAATCGTAGTATAAAAGTTGTCCTCGATGGACAGCACTCTTCTTCATATTCTGTAACTTTAAGGGTTCCTAAAGGTTCAATCCTTGGCTCTATACTCTTTTTAATTTACATTAACAATCTTCCAGATATTCTCAAACCTAAGGTGGCATTGTTCGCTGATGATACTACCATTATTCTTGTCATGATAAGAAGCCAGCACTCTTTAATTGTTTGGAGGGGGCATTTGAACTTGAAATAGATCTCACTTCTGCTACAGCATGGGGCTCACAGTGGCTGGTGAACTATAACTCAGATAAAACTCAAATTTTTTCACCCAATTGTTATTGCAATAATTTAGATCTTCCTATATGTATGAACAGTAATGTACTTGAAGAGTCATCTACCCTTCATCTTCTATTGAGTTGCATCTCTTTATCCAGCTTGACACTTTCTTACTTTGGATTCCATTCTCTACCTCTTTAAATCTCAAATACTGTTGCCCTATCTGGAGCAGATCTTCTAATGTTGCCCTTTCTCTTTTAGACAAGGTGCAAAAATGCATCATAAACATAGTTGGACCTGCTCTTGCAGCCAACCTTTAACCATTATCACATCGTTGTAATATTGCTTCTCTTTCTTTTTTCTACAAATACTGTAATGGGCACTGCTCTAAAGAGGTAGCATCTCTTTTGCTATCAACTAAAATTTATTCTGATGTTACTCGTCATTTAATTAAGTCTTATTCTTTTTCTGTGACTGTTCCTAAGTGCTTCAAAAACTCTTATTCTTCTAGTTTTTTTCCTCAAACTTTCTTTGGAATTCGCTTCCTTCATCTTGTTTTCCTGATTCATATAATATTCATATAAGTAGTCTGTCAATTGTTATCTTTCCCTACAATCTTCATATTTTCTCTTCCAGTAACCTCCAATTCTAATAGTGGTTGCTTGCTTTAAAATTTTACAAATATTATTGTTTAAAATTTTACAAATATTATCGTAATTATTAAGAGTTCATAATCAAAAGTTTTCATGTCACTTACTATCAACTCAATTAATTTTCAAAAATTTCTATAGCCACAAGAGAAAATTATTTTCTACTTTTTAGTTCATTACAAAAACGTGGTTTTACAAAAAGTTTTTTTATTTGTTATATTATTATAATTTAGATTTTTTGATTTTGATTATTTTATAGTTATATGATTCATCTTTTATTATTTATTATTTTATCTTATTTTTTATTTTATTTTTTGATTTTTTGATTATGCAATTAATTTAATAATTAGTAATTACTTTTTAAACTATTTTATCTTTTTTTTTTTATATTACATTTTTTATTATTTTTTGATTATGTGATTAATTATTATGTGATTAGTTTTAAAACTTGTTTATTTTATTAGTAATAGTTGTAAATAATATATTTTTTAAATTTTAATATAAAATAATAATAAAACTTATTATTTTATATTCATTATAAAGCATTGGAAGACATTTTTTGTTTGTCTTAAGCTTGGCTTTTTATTCATTGTTGTCAGAGCAAATGAAAAATTAGAAAGTTACTTTATATCTGCTTTAACAACTATATGAATATTTCTATAGTCATTGATGCACTCTTGAACTTACAAAAAAAGCTTACATTAATTATTGAAATAATAATTGGACATTAAAATATCAACAATTGGACATTAAAATATCAACAATTGGACATTAAAATATCAACAATTGGACATTAAAATATCAACAATTGGACATTAAAATATCAGCAAAACATCACATAATATGCTGCAGTAATGTCATATTATGTTTCAAAAATACTTCTATACAAGTTAAATACAAGTCAGAATTGACTTTTCGGATTTCAAAAAGATATCTAGAAGGTCAAAAGAAGAAATAGATGGAATTCTGAAGATATCTAAAAAAAAAGCTGGAATTATGGAAATATCTAGAAAAAAATAATCCCTGCTATCAAGATAGAATTGAAATTCTATTAGAAATTTATAATTCTATTAGAATTTATAACTTAGTAGTTATTAATACCCATTATGAATAATATTTTAACAAAAGGTTAAACAACTTTAGCAGTCTTCTCTGTTTGACAAGCCCTTTTACCCTCTTGCAGTTTTGCGCTCGCCCACACACACCCTAATACTAAGGCTGGCACTTTTTAAGCGCTCACCAAAAAATTTCAAGCATGATTTTAAATTGTAACAAATCTTTTTTCTTAATCAAATTCTAATTAAAGAGGTGCTAAAAACAAATATTTTTTAAAATCATGCATGCCAGACAAATAATTACTCTCAAGCCAGTGCTTTTTCGTGTGCTGGCCGTAAATTTCAAACGGAGAAGACTGCTTTAGCTGACCCCTTCTCCAAGCAAGAAAAGGACAATGAAACAATTTTATCATTTGATTGTTTTTAAATAATGTTTAACTTCTTGAACAATGAAAATAAAAAAAACTGCAATATTAAGAATCAATAAGAGCCTAGTAATAATAAACATGAGTGTTACAAATATTGTATTGTATATCCTTATGTGATAGTGCAAGAAAAGATAACTCTAAATATAACCTTGCAAAAAAACAACAAAAACTCTTACTGCAAGTCTTGGGAATGTACATGTTATTAACTTTTTCTTTCTCTGATATCAAGTCAATAATTTCTTTCTTTCTTTTACTTGAAGTAAACTGAGAGTGATTTCTTACTTTGACAGGTGCTATCTGCTTCTGTGATTTTTTGCAGCTACTAGTAGGACCACAAACAGTTGGGAGTGGACGAATTTCTGTAAATAAATAAAATAAAAGTAAAACTACCAAAAAGGTAAACAAAAAAACAACAAGAAAAATAACATTTTAATACCCTTAATAGAGTCTCTTAACTGTTTTTTTTGAAACATGGTCAACTTTGGTTCTTCCATCATAACTAGAAACAATTCAAATAACTAAAAAGCTATACAATATTAAATCAACAATAAAAATTTCTAAACATCTAATAAAAGATATATAGCTAAAAACCATTTGTACTTTAAACATATACAAAATGGCGGTACAGGGTTAGGGTTAGCTTTTTTTATCTTTCTTGTAATAAATTAGAGAAATTATAAAAGGTACAGTCTATTTGTGTCAGTTTAAAACTTTTACTGCTGGTTTAGATCTATATAAAACTTCACAATAACATCATACTGAAACAAGGATAAAAAGAAAGAAACACACTTTCATCCCAATCTATGAATTTTATATATAAATGAAATCCAATCTAAAATCATTCTAAAATAGCTGTTTGTATTCCTTTCAACAATAATACTAACCAGTATTATTGTTGAAAGAAATCTGAAACAAAATCTTCAATGTAATTGAAGATTTTGTCTAGAGTATTCCTTTCTAAGGTAAATTGCCTTCACTACAGTTAAAGAGCCCAAAAGGAAACTGTTATTGAAATTTTGGGATTATCACAAAACAACATTAACAATCAAACACAAACTATTTGATTGGATTCCATGTTTGTTTTACCACGGTTAGAATGAAAAAATTTACTGCTTAAAAAAATCTCTAAGTACTATAAAAATATTAATTTATTTAAAAGAAAAATAAGTTGATGAATATTATTTTAACCAAAATGTAATATAAATGTACAAATCAAAATAATGTCATTTTTTGCTTGATCTCACAAAAAAGATGTACTTAATGAAATAAGAGATACAGCCAAATTTCTTTGTACTACGCCAAACACTTTGTTGAACACTTCATAAAGAGAAATATCAAAATCAGTGCTGCTACTTTATTAATAATCTGACTAATGTATTCATATGACTAACCCTATGTTTAATAATTAGGGGAACTTTTACATCCAACCTAAAATGCTTTAAAATCAATCAATATTGCTTTTTGGCATTAAAAATAATAGCCCTGCACATAGTCCTGCTTTTCATGATATGGGTGTATAAAAAAAAAAACAGGACTGTAGAATTTATTTAATGATATAGGTGTATAAAAATAAACAGGTCTATATAATTTATTTAAAATTTGTACTATTTTTTTCATTTAAATTTGAAAAAAGAAACAAATCCTATACAAACTGCAATGTTTGTTTTTAACAACAACATTTATAACTTTGTTCACAATTTCAAAACAATGCTCCAAAACATGAATCTTGACACAAAAAAAAGTGTTTCACATGGAGAAACAAATTTAGCCTGGTACTATCAGTGACCTGGATGTAAAGGAAAGACAAACTACCAGAGATTTGGAAGAAAAGGGATTGTAAACTACCAGAGACATGGACATAAAGAAAAGACAGGATAAACAAACCTTTTAAAATAAAATTTAAATCACTATATGATTTTGTCTAACTTTTTTATACACACAGTTTATATTTTATCCAAACTTTTCTGCTATAATTCTTATAACAACAAATTTTTTTAACAAATATGATTGTAAACAAATTATCATACCGTTAAGAAGTTCTTGAGTTTGAGGACTTATTGAATCATTTTTCTTTAAAATTGCACCACCACGAGTCATATTTACTTTTATATTCATTTTTTACTATAATTCATATTTTGCAACCATTTTATTATGTATCTTTTTTACAGGTAAAAAATAAACATTAATTTACAAAAATTTTTTTTAAAAGATATCTATTTATTTAGTACTGATCAATAAAAATAAGTCAACTTACTACTGTTTACATAAAAGAGCATTGTTAAAAAATTAACTCAAGGTTTCCAACTGCATTCTTCTACTTCAATAAAAAGATATTGGTCACTTTGATAAAAGATTACTATAACTTTAACTACCCTAATTATAATTTGAACTTAACTTGTCCTTCTTGTTTTTAGCTTTGCTTTTTGAAATTTAAAAACTAGTTTTCCTTAATCCTAGTGTACTTTACTCTTCCTTTAGACATGTAAAATTTTTATACCAAAAAATTTAAATACTTATGAATTTTGATTTTAAAACAAAAAAGCTTGATTGTAATTTGAGTTAAAAAAAAAAAAATCTGTGTTGTTACTTTCCATTGTTTTTTTTTTTTTGGGCAATGTGGTGAAATGCTTTAATTATATTTACAGACTGATTTGTAGACCACAAAAATTAGTTGTTACACTTTCAGTAAAGTAATAGACTGATCTGGACGTAAAATTATACTTAAAAGTCACAGGTCTCAAGGCCAGCATCTTGAGACCTGTGACTTCGAAGTTGTTTTTTTTTAAGTTAAATAGAATATTATTAACAAATTGTTAACAATTTATTAACAATCTAGAAGCAATCTTTGCCACTTCTAGATTTTTAATTAAATTTACCATCTTTGGTTTTGCTAATCTTCAAGTGTACACATACACACAGATAAACATATAGTCCATATAGTAACTCAGGATAATATTTAACTCATTAAGAATCTAATCTGATTACCTATCTGATTATCCTATCAATAATTTTAATAAAACATTAAAAAAATGCTTATTTAATTAAATTATCTTTAAAATTAATAAAGTTGCTTTTATAAAAACTAAAATTACAAAACTAATAAAAATTACTTTTATTACAATTTGTATAATCAGCATTTCATGTAAAAAAAACATTAATACAAAATAAATATCTACAACTTATGAATCATATAATATTCAAAGAAATCTGTAAAAAATCTAGATTTATTTGTATAAGAAAAACATTTTTTGTGCGGCATTTTTCTATAGTATGCTGATGCAGCTATTGCTATAACAAAGTGAGACAAACCAATAATCCTAAATGTCTTATTTGTTAAAATTCCACAACCTGGAACACCTAATGAACCTTCATAACCTTCTAAAACTCTTGAAAAATTTACAGTAAATATATCAATTACTTCATTTTTGCTTAATGCAGCATAAAAACTTTTTTTTATCAAACCATAGACAGGACAAACAACATAAACTTTTCCATTTCGATAATAAAAAATAGAAGGTCCTTCGCACAATATCTCAATGTTATCTTGATGCAAACCTATTTCTTCTAAAGTTTCACGCAAAGCAGTTTCTTTAGGGGTTTCACTATCCTCACATTTACCTCCAGGCATACATACTTCACCTTCAAAAAGTGATAAACTGTTATGTCTGACTGTAGCTAAAACATATAAATCATTATATTGATTAAAAAGCAATGGTACTAATATTGCAGATGATATTGGCTGAGATTGATTTAACTTTTCTGGTAGTAGCTTTATTTGAGAGTTATAAATTTCCTGATAATGTTGCTGCAGAGTTGTACTCCAATTTTTAAATTTTTCTTTTATCATATCTTTGTGAAAATTAACATCAGAGTTAACTTGAATATGAACTAATTTCATTTAATTAAGTTTAAGCTTAAAAACTAAAAATGAAATTTCAATAAAATATACATTTATAAAATATACTTTAATATAGATTGAAACAAAAAATTAATATCCAGAAGAATAAAATACTGTTTAAAATTATTTAATGAGTACAATAGGGTTGCAGAAGATTTAATCAGCAAATCGACAATTTGATTTTTAAATAGATATAGAAATTGGTTAAAAAATAGCCAAAACTATACTGGCCAAATCAGCCATATTATTGTTAAAAAAAAATTTAATTTTATATTATGTGACAACAAATAAAGTTACTAATTTTAGGTTAGTAAAGTTATAATTTTGATTTTAAAATTTAAGTTGTAAATTTGTAGATGTAAGTAATAAATCTAGTATTAAGTTGTTAATTTGTAGATGTAAGTAATAAATCTAGTATTAAGTTTCAATTATTTAAATGTTGAGATCTTTAATTTAAAGCTTCAGAGAAATCGTTATAATAATACATCAAATTAACATATTTTGGTTTGTTTCTATACTAATTTGGAAAACTGTGAAACTATAATTAAGTTATTGGATCATTAGTGGCATCCATAAGTGGCCAGCTGATAACTTTCCAACATGTGATATAGTGGGTAGTCATCAGCTAACCACTTTCGATAAAAAATCTCAAAATGCCAATATAGGGCCACTAAAATTCCTGTTTTGAAAAGATTCTTAATGATAAATGTATTATAAGTAGCGGTAAATGAAACTCTGCCATTAATATACATTTAATACAAAAAAAAGTATGCATGGTATTTAATCTAATACAGAAATATGAAATTGTGTCAAATAACTTTCATGCCAAACTTAATTATCTTGATCACATAATTAATAATATAATATCTAATGATGCAAATTTAAGTACAACTCTAATGCTTGAATCAAATTAATAAAATAATAATAGCAACAATAACTACTGAATGTTACAAAAAGCTTACAAAAAACTTTGCAATAAACTCCTTACAACAAACTTTTCAATAAACTCCTTACAACAAACTTTGCAATAAACTACTTACAATAAACTTTGCAATAAAGTTTGTTATAAGTTTACAAATATAAAAAAAATATAAAAAAGTAATTTTTTATGTAAAGAAAAGATCAATAAAAACAATAATTTATTGTTAATATATAGTTAAAACAAACATATAAATGACAAAACATAAAATAATACCCATAAATCTTTATTTGTGAGTATTGCATTTATGATACAAATAAAAAAACAAAGTTTTGTATAAACATAATTTGTAAAATAGAAGATAATAAAATTCTATTCAGAACCACATCTATTATTAACAGCATTTCAGCTCAGCAAAGGCTATTTTACCCCATCAATATCATTGCCATTTATGTTTTGCTTTGCCTGCTTCATCCTTCAATAAAAAAGGACACCACTATAAATAGTCAAAACCCAAGCAAATTAGTAAAGCACCAATATTTTTGAAAAAGTAATATGAATGCAATCAAACAATTTTTAAGTATTAAAAAAATAAATTAATTACCATCTCGCTATAGAAAACTGATAGAAAATTGGAAAAGAACAATAAATAATAACTCAAATTAAAACACAAAGACTAAACTAAGCTACAATGCTAATACAACATTAATGCCGAATACAACATTAATTAGGAAAAACAATGTTTAAACCTCATCACTCTATATTACAGACTAAATTAAATCAATCTATTGATGTTTACAAGGCACTTTATCAATTCGAAAAATTTATCTACTGAAAAAAAGCAACTATTTATGACAAAATTTATTTTACGATAAAAGTATAGTAATAATAACAATAAAGTGATAAAGAAAATACTAATGAAAATATTTCAGCTTAAGAAAGATTAAAATAATAAGTTTAAATTAAGATATTAAAATTATTATTATATCACAACAAAAGAGAGAAAAAATATTAGATAAATAGAAACTCAGTATTAGTGTTATAAATAATAAGATATAGAAAGTTATAAATATTCCAAACAAATAGACAATTTGATACCTGAATAAGGTCACACAATTTAAGAACTTTAGATAAAAAAGAGAGTATGTTACAGTTTGAATTAGTATGTTGGAAATAAATTAAATTTTAAGCTTTATTTTGGAGATAAGCTAGTATTAAAAAAGCAAGCTGCTTAGACTGTTCCCAAACTTGTCAAGCATATCTTAAATGAGAGTAAAAAATTGCATGATACATATTAAGCAAACTTTTACAATTAACATGACAAATTTTAGCTAACATGCTATTTTGATCTGTTTAATTTTAATGCTAAGCCTTGAAGATCCAATGAAAAGATAAATTAGAGTCTATTTTGATTCCAAGATATTTAATAGAGTTAACTGGATTTATTTTCTGTCCACTTAATCTGAAATATAATTGCTAATTTAATTTTGTTCAAACAGATTTGAATATATAAATTTCTGTTTTTTTAGAGTTAAAGGATAATTTATTAAAACAGAGCCATTAACAATATTTGCACAATTGTGATTCATATTTTTGTTAAATTTTTAAAGTGATTTATTATTTAGGAGCAATTTGGTGTCATCTGTAAAATGAAAAGCAGTGAAAAATTTAAGTAAAACACTTAAATCATTGAAAAAATAAGGAAAAGTAATGGTTTTAAAACTGAGCCTTATAGAGCTTTTATTTTTCAATAAACACTTAAACAAAATATTTATTATCCATGACTTGTCTAATTTTCTCTGCTATTTCTATTAATGAATGAGTTAAGTGTTTGTTGCAAAAACCATATCCTAATTTTTGAAGCCATTTTTTAATCTGAGACAATGCAATTAGTAAAAATTAGTTTACCTTTCGAGTAAAATGACTTCTAAGATCTCAGATGAAAAAATGGCTTCAACTATTAGAAGTTGAAATACCTCTGTACAATTATTCGAAACAATTTTTAACAGAATAAATTAATATGTACTTTGTCAGCCTGATGTTTTATGTTTATATTTAATAAATATAAACATAATAGTATAATAGTTTGTATTATTATTATTGCAAAATTATTAATAATATAAATAATGTCAAATTTATTATCAAATAATAATAATAATAACAATAATAATAACAATAATAATAATAACAACAATAATTAATATACATTGATTTAATAATAATAAAATATATTAAACTTTTTTCCTTTGTTTTTAGTGTGTATTTATTTTCTTTGATTTTTGTTTAAATATTATTTTATTATTTTATGAGATCTTTGCTTTAAATTACATTCATACTTTTTGCATAGTCTCTTCAAAAAATAGTATAATTATTTTTTCATTTCATTAACTATTTTATTTTTTAACTATTTAATCATGTTGTATAAAGTATTTTTGTTGAGTGTGCGTGAATAATAATAATAGATAATCCGGTAGTGTACAAGACAATCTTTAGAGAAGAATTTATTATCAACTTGGAAAACGAGTTATATATCATTGGAAAGCTTATTCATTCTTTTTTAAATAAAAAAATGGTAATCTTTATTATTTTGTGAGAAAAAACACATTTTTCATATAGGGTCAATTAAATTGTAGTGGTGTTTATTTTTACAATACTTCATTGCTATTTTTGTTATGCAACTGTCTTCTAAAGGTTAGGTTTTATTATGCGGTAAGGACTATTTTATAGCCATGGAGACAATAAATCACGTGATCAAGTATAATTTCAAGCCTCCTTAAAAATTTCTTTGGGAAACATTTCCGCCTTATTTACAGAGCATCTATACACAGGGCCGTTCCTAGAAAATCTTTAAAGAGGCGGAGTGGGGGCGGGGAAGGGGTGGATGGCTTGCCAACTAAGATTAAAAAATAAAATTTTTGTCAAGTTTTTTATTTATTTTTTTGTTATTTAGGTGCCCAAAAAAGTCCTAACGGTCTTGTCACAGAGTACCGCGAAACTGCATTTAACCAGGAAGTTCACGCCTCCTTTCTTACCGTGACGCGAAATATGTCCAAAGCTCGTTTTGAACCTAGATCTCCTACTCATATAGCAAGCGCTCTAACTACTGCACCACGGCCGCAAGATTTTTAAGATTAAGTCTTTTCAATTGTCGCAGCACCTTTTTGGTAGCGTGCAAAAATTGCATTTATTTATGGTTATTGTTCAAAATTTGACATCTTACGGACAATATGTTTTGTATAAGCAAGTAGCCTAAAATTGCACAAAATATCTACTCACATACTGTTTTTTCACGATATTTTTAATAATAAATACGATTTCTTTTCTATTCAATTTTTCGAACTCTTTTTTTTAATATTTATAATCTTGAAACAATTATTTTAGCTGAAAATTTTCCAGATAATCATTATTATCAACCATTAATTATTTTCCACATGAATGATTTAGTTATGAATAATCTTTTTAGCTCTTACAGTGAACTGAGCAAGCAGTAAGCAACAAAGCATGACAAAGTATTTGAAGCGTGAAACATTAAACTGCGCAATTTTCGGATTACCGACAGATTTTGCTAGGATGCTTCCAACAAATGAAGATGTTAGTTAATGTTCCATTTACGCAAGATAATGTCGTGGCTCTAAAACAATAGATAGCAAGGAACCGTCTTTATCTTTCATTTTTTCCAAATCAAATTTAATTAAATCTCCAAATGTTGTATTCTAATGTTTCTATTCCAACCGTTTCAAAGAAACTTTTCATTGATATGATTCACAAATATCAGAAGAAACTACAGCATTGGACAAAACATTTGCAACCAATATCGAACAATGCTAAAAAGGGTTCCTAATTTTAAATGTCTTAAAAACGAAACAAACTATACTACCACAACAAACAGTTCAGGAGTCTGGAACCATAGCATGCCATGACATGAGCAATCAGCTGACAGGTGACAGCACACAGGCAGAATTTCGTTGACAAGTGCCATTTTTCAGCGGACAAAACAAGTGCAACTTTTTTGGTTTGTTTCATTTTCTTAAGTCTGGTCCGTGTCAACGTCACGAAAGTTTTTTAATAATTAAAGGAAGTATCCAGAAGTTTCCAGAAGTTTCCAGAAGCACACAGAAGCTTCCA